CTTTTTGTTAGATAATCTGTCTCTTATTGGAAAAAATGCATTCTATGGAATAGAACATAGGACGAACCATTGACATGTGATGCATATGTATCAGAAAAAATCATTGATAGTTGATTAGTTAAAGTTTGTATGTTGACAGTAACAACGTGAAACGTGAAAATAAATAGCAATGTGAAGAAACGAAGCTCTCTTTTCCTTTCCCTTCTGTAATATACTATTTCCGACAAAAGAGAAAATGCTGTCAACACAACTTATAAAATTTACAGAATCATATCCAGTTAATATGAATGATTCACGTGTCATTTTAAACGTGGGCGGAACACGGTTTGAAACGCAACGCGCAACATTAAAGAAATTACCAGCGACAAGATTGTCAAAATTAACTCCTCAATTATCATTTTATGATCCCGTTTTAAACGAATACTTTTTCGATCGGCATCCGGGCGCTTTTTCGCAAATACTCAACTATTATCGTACAGGAAGATTACATTATCCGACAAATGTCTGTGGACCTTTGTTCGAAGATGAACTCTCCTTTTGGGGAATACAACGCGAAGAAGTTGAACCATGTTGCTGGTAAATTTATACTCTACCAACAAAAAATCGCATTTACAGATATTGTTCATGTCATTTTGGTATTCTTAGGATGACCTATACGAAGCATCGATCCACTCAAGAAACCTTGCAAGTATTGGATTCTTTAGAATTAGATACCGTTCGTTCCACGACGGATGACATTGTAAAAAAGTTCGGATGGGAAGATGATTTTGATTTGATTACTAGCGGTCATCTATCAAATCGAAAACGTCTGAAAGGTATTATCTGGCAACTATTCGAAGAACCAAGATCATCATTAGTATCTAAGGTAAGGGAAAACAACCATTTGAAGTTCTTTTTTGTTCGTACTCGATAATCACAGTGTCTATTATACCTGAATCACGGAAATAATCATTACTTGAGCGTTCAATGAGTAAAAAAGAAGCATCTAAAGTGGAATAAACACTTCTATTACTTTTGTTCCGTAAATGCTCATTTATTTTATAATTTAAAGATCATTGCCGTTATATCGATGTTTTTCATTATACTTTCCATCGTTTCGTTTGTCCTTCGCACTTTGCCCGCATTTGAAATTGCTGAGTTTACCTTGGTGAATGTGACGATTGGATATAATCGAACTGAACAAGCGATTATGTCGAATACACAACAGCGAAAAATTATCTCGTCATTTGATACAATCGAATGGATTTGTAAGTCAAACGAGAAAAGAGAAAGAATATGCTTTTCTTCTTTGTGTGTTAGGTAATTCTTGGTTTATATTCGAAATCACGCTAAGATTTTTAGTTACACCATCGAAAAGAAGTTTTTGTTCATCTATTTTGAATTGGATTGGTAAGACAAGCGACGAAGGAAAGAACAGGCAACGAGACTTGGTTTTCTTTAGATTTTCTCGGTACATTCTGGTTTATTTTTACCTACATTCTCTACGAAACATTTTATTTTCACGGTTACAATGCAGCGCTCGATCTTGTCTCAACTATTCGCGTTGCCCGTATGTTCAAATTATGTAACCTTCATCCACGTCTAAAAGTGATCATCACATCCATGTCGTATTCGTCGGGTGTTTTAAGTTTATTGATCTTTTTCTTCTTTCTCGCGGTCATGGTTGCCGGTGCATCATTGTACTACATCGAACGTTTAAGTAATACCAAAGATAATCAGCTAATATCCATCGTTGAAGGTGTATCATTGGCTATAAGCACGATCAGCACACTAGGTGCAGGCGAAGTTGTACCAAAATCGCTAAGCGGAATGATTTTCGGTGCAATAACTACGGTCGTTGGTGTCTTGATCATTGATTTGCCAATGCCAATCATCGTTGAAACATTTGCTAATTTCAATTCACATTTACAAACACGTCAGCAATTGCCCAAACAACGACGACGAGTTACGCCGGCGGTCATACCAAGGAAAATCAAACCATTAATACCACCTAATAGATATGCTCGTTACTGAATCTATTCTAAATGTGTTTGTTTGTTTAAATCGAAATAAATATCGCCTAGTCCTAGAAGCTCTCTCGTATAAAGACGTAGTGAAAGAATTTTAAAAAATGTGTTTTATTTTTGTTGATATCTTATTGTTGTTATTTTGTTTATTGGTTTTCTAACAACTCTCTGATGTAAAAGAGTATCACATAGAAAACGAAAACAAAACTGTCGAAGTTCAGTGGATGATAACATGAACACTGCTCGACGATTACCGAAGGCGACGTGCTTCACGTTCCGATTCGAGAAGAACTAGAACATCGTCGACACGTCTAAAAATTCAAATCAAAATCTAACTCAAGTGATTATAAAGAACAAAAGATATTCCTACACTGGTCCCTTGACGTTACGAATAATCGATCGTTTGGATGTTGATGTGTCGATAATTTCGACACGAACTTGTGTACATTGGCCCTGACTGCCAGTGCGACCAAGAATTTTGACAACGCGTGCCATAACACCGCCAGTTGTGTTTTTTTCCATGATGGTGAGGTAAAATGAAATCTAAAAGATAAACAACCGATGAATTATCATTCAAAAATGTAAAATAGCGAATGGTATCGGAAAAAAGAACAAGCAAACAGCGATCTTTAGTGTCGCCATCTTGAACAGAGTGTACTTTGTCCTTCAGTGTTTTTCTAAAAGTAAGTGGAAACTTTGTGAAATTATTTTTTGGGAATTATTCAAGAAATTTTCGTTGAGAATATTTAAATTCTACTAATAATTATTCCAACCAATCCAATTCATTTGCGATTCTTAATTATATTCCATGGATTTGATTTGACATGAAAATCATCAGGATTTATCAAGATATTCTCCATTATCATCTTTCATTCTTTCGAGTACAGATAGTTGTTACCCATCAGTACATAGATGATTCATTTTCTACATCAATTACGAGTTAATTACATCTTTTTTTCAGTGCATGAAGGCCCTTAGCAACGTAAAATTATTAGCAACAGGCTAGTCTCTATTTTAGATTCTGTTCAATCATGTCTGACGAAGAGAAATACGACGCACTTTTAATGAACATTGCTTCCCAACATACGGGTGGCATTCATGAAGTATTTGAATGATTTGAAAAGGGAATTACGAATTTTTTTTTATGTCTTCTCTAGTTACTCGATACATTGTTCGGCTTTTTCGCACGTAAAACTGACTTATACACAAGTCCAAACGTTAATCAAAAGCCGGAAGAGTTGATTTTACAATCGTTTCGTAAATGGGAGAAAGTTGCGCTCGAAAAGCATAGAAAAGATAAAGCTGAACGAGATGAAGTACGTCAATTATCATTTATCATGTGAATGTTTCTGATTTGTTCCATAGGCTGATCGTGTTCGACGCGAGAAGATACGTCGCAAACGTGAAGAAGAAGAAAGTATCAAGAACGATCCGTCATCACGAATTGTCGAAGTTACTGATGAAGAAGCTGAACGAATTACACGAGAAAGTGCGAAAGCAAAAGTAAGTGATCGTGAATTAAATTTAATCGTTCTGCAACATTTTTACACTTTCTAGGCTCAAAAATTGGATTCTGATGAACAAGCTAAGGCAGAGAAGGACAATGTTGTCGAGCCATCAGATGACAATGAACAAAATAAAGAGGAGAAGGTAAAATAAGTTAAGAATCTAATTGTTTATGGATTATCAAAAGACGAATTCTTACTCATTAGAAAGAAGATGAAGATGAAAATGAAGAAGATAAAGGTAAAGAAAAACCCAACTCTGGTAATGGATGGACAGGTCCAAACTATTCCTGGACACAAACACTCGAAGAGATTGATGTAAGTCGTGTTTTGTTTTTCAGTTATCATTTGTTCTAACTATGTGGCTTTATTCGAATTAGTTGCGCGTTCCAATTAACCTCAATGTTCGTGTTAAATCGAAAGATGTCATCGTCAAATTCGAACGCAAGGTATGCAGGTTCATTTTTTGTTGACAATAGTTATAGGAACGATCTATTTAGCATTTAACCGTCGGTCTTCGTGGTCACCCACCAATTATTGATGGTGAAACATTTGCCGAATTGAAAAAAGAAGACTCTGTTTGGACATTGGATGATGGAAAACTACTACATATTGTTATCGAAAAAGTATTGTCCTTTACTCTGACGGTTCGGTTTACATTCTATATATATATATATATATATATAGGTTAATAAAATGGAATGGTGGAGTCGAATTGTCAAATCGGACCCGGAAATTAACACGCGTAAAGTTCAACCTGAAAACTCGAAGGTAAGACAATTTCACAAATGGTTCGTTAATAATGCGCGTTTTAATTTAGTTATCTGATTTGGATGGTGAAACACGTGGTATGGTAGAGAAAATGATGTACGATCAACATCGACGTGAAGCTGGTTTACCTACTTCTGATGAACAAAAGAAACAAGATATGCTTCAAAAGTAAACCATTCTTTTTCAGTTTATAAATCATAGGTTTGTATTTTGCGATCGAATTAGATTTATGAGCGCCCATCCGGAAATGGATTTTAGTAAATGCAAGTAAGTCTAGTGAATAGAGATTCTGATAACATGTTTATCTACTGATTTATTTTACAATTAGATTCAATTGATTGATCAATAAGTCGTCATCTGTTTTTATCGTCTAAACCAAGAATGATTTGATAAACTGTGATTAAACATGTTCATCGTTGCATTCGTTCTTTGTACTGTTGTGTTCTTTTTGAATTAAAACAAAAGCAAAAACAGAACTAATCATCATGAATTCCAACTCGCGTACGATTGAATGAATAGTATTGTTTCTGACTGAAGACTTTTTACCTGTAAAGATAGCAACCATGTTGTGTGTTTCAACAGTCCATACGAATCTAGTCAAAATAATTCCGTCGTTCTGCAGATTTTAATAAGTGTGTATTTACGTGCATACTTATTTTTCTGCAGAGTAAATCAAGTATTCAGAAAGAGTGCCTTTCATCAATAACATGACGAACAAATGTCAACAGGAGAAATACATTTGAAGCTGGATGTATTGTTAGTAGTTTCTTTCATTTTTTAACCTGTTCAATACCGCTGCTGATTCGTTTGCTTTAGTGAAGCATATCTATACACAGAAACAATGATAAAACAGGAATCGAATATTACGGAGAGAAATGAGCACGGACCAATGTTCCAGTTACCGGCAGGTGGGCGCCGATGCATAAGTAACGAAAGTTCGCGCAATATGGTCGTAGTTTGGTTGAATAATGATATAGTTGATCATAATGAAAATTATCAGAACACAATCACACAGCTTCAATCTGTTCTCGACGATGTCTATACATTTACGGATAATGACGAGTGCGTCGATTCTATATCGAACATGACAGACAGCAAAGTCTGTTTGATCATCTCCGAATCTCTTGGACAATGCATTATACCCTGTGTTCACGATATTTGTCAGATTCACTCAATTTTCATCTTTGGCGACACCAAGAAACGTCAAGAACAACCAGTCGAAAAATGGCACAAAATAAAAGGAATATTCACAGATAAAGAATCAATTTGTAATGAACTGAAGCAGATAGTGCGCCGATATAATCAACATACTGTGCCTATGAGTTTGATTTTACCTGATAAAAAATTAGATCAATTGGATCCATCGTTTATGTATACACAGATTCTCAAGGAAATTTTATTTACTATTGACTTTGACGAAGAACACATCAAAGAATTCATTAACTACTGCTGTGATACATTTGATGTCAATGAAAATCAATTGACCAAGTTTAAACAATTCGAACGAGAGTATCGTCATAAAACGCCGATTTGGTGGTATAGTAAGGAGAATTTTATATATTACACATTGAACTTTGCTTTACGTGTGATGGATGCAAATGTTATCGTAAGAATGGGTTTTTTTATTAACGATCTTCATCGACACATCGAGCGGTTACATAAGGAACAGCATGCTCGTGAGCCATCTCGTAGATCTTTCACAGTTTATCGTGGCCAAGGTTTATCATCGGCTGATTTCAGCGAAATGGTAAAATCACAGGGTGGACTATTGTCGTTTAATACGTTTCTATCTACCAGTAAAGATCGCGCTGTGGCCGATCGTCTTGCAGAAAGCAACGCTGATAATCCTGATCTAGTTGGGATTGTTTTCGTCATAATGGTAGATCCTTCTAAATCAACAACACCCTATGCCTATATTCGTGAGATAAGCTATTTCTTCGACGAAGATGAAGTTCTATTTTCTATGCATGCCATATGTCGCATTCGCAGCATCACGCCGACTCACTCTAACAATCGCCTTTTTGAGATCAGTTTATCAGTTACTGACGATAGCGACAAAGATCTCTGTATACTTACCGAACGGATCAAGCATGATAGTTTTTCTTTTAATAATGGATGGCTCAGATTAGGCCCAATTTTACACGAGATAGGCTACTCAGACTATGCTATCAAAATCTATGAAATTTCTCTTTCTCACACAATCGATGAGGTTACAAAAGCAGCGATCTACAAACAAATTGGTCTGATACAAGTTGACATGGGAGAGTACTCGAAGGCGATGCTATTCTATGAGAAGTCTCTCGCTATTTTTCAAAATACATTTCCTCTTGATATTAATTGTTTGGCTTCGTGCTACAATAAAATCGGTGACCTATATTTCCGAATAGGTGACTTTTCCAAAGCAATTTCATCATGTAAGAAAGCCCTCGCACTTCAACAACAGTCAAGTACTCCTGATCGCTTCGAAGAGAACACATCTTACTACACTATGGGTTATGCATACTACCGCCTCCGCGACTATACGAAGGCTCTGTTTTTCTTCGAACAAGTTCTTTCGATCTGGCAACAATTACTTCCTAACAATCATCCTGACTTGGCTCTATCTTATAACAGCGTCGGTAATGCATATTATTCAATACACGATTATCCCAAATCTCTTTCTTTCTACGAGAAAGCACTTACAATTCAACGTCAATCACTTCCTTCTAATAATCCTGACATTGCCACCTCATACAATAATATGGGCAATGTATATTGCCGAATGGGCGACTATTCAAAAGCACATGTATTTCAACAAAAAGCTCTCTCGATTCAACTGCAGTGCCGTCCTTCGGATCATCCTGATTTGATGTCCTCTTACAGAAATATCGGTTCCATTTATATTGAAACGGGCGACTACTTAAAGGCTCTTGCTTTCTTTGAGAAAGCCCACGCGATTTGTCTACACTTGCTTCCCGCAAATCATCCTGATCTGATTTCAGAGTACGAACTAATTGGTTGTATATATTACCAAATAAACGATTATTCAAAAGCTCTTTCTCTCTACGAGAAAGCACTTACAATTCAACGTCAATCGCTTCCCGAGAATCACCCTGACATTGCTGCGTCCTACAAAAAGATCGGTTGCGCATACTACATGATGGGTGACTATGTAAAAGGATTTTCATCATTCGAAAAAGGTTGTAAAACTGAATCACAATAGTTTATTTTTGCTCATCCTTGTTTAACTTTGTTTTGTATGATATATAATCACTCGGAAGTATGAGGCACAAGCCATTTCGCAGTCATTGTGTAACGCTTGATGACTGGTAGCGTCATCTTACCACAACAGATGCGGAACGAAGAAACATACATACATACATAGAAAGGTTTGATTTCATTGATGTAAAGAATCATCCAATAGCTGTGATCTGATGTTTCGTGGTACGTACGTACACGCGTAGTACTTTGGATTCGACAGTGTCGGATCTTACATATTGATAAACATTAAATAGAATGCCGAAACGGAAAACAGGACAAAGGAAAAAAGCCGAAAAACAGAAAGAACGTCAAAAACTCTTGCAGTCAGCTTATAGTAATAAACAATTAGTCGAATGGCCATGCAATTACATTATGGTTTGTATACGATTTCCACCAGAAACGATCTCATCTACCCTTTTTTTTTACTTCTTGTAAAGGAATGTGATAAATGCAAAAAACAGCAAAAAAATCGTGCATTCTGCTACTTCTGTCAAGCTGTACAAGCGTTACCTGTCTGTGCACAATGTGGTTAGTCCTTGAATTGCCTAAATAGCTTAGTAATTTTCGATAACTTTAGGAAAACAAAAATGTTTGTCGAAAACTGGTGACTGTCTTGTGAAACACGGCGTTGTACATGCAACAGGCCTTCAGCTAGTGGTAAGGTGAGTTTATTTCATAGATTCCTTTTCGTATGTGTACGTAATTTCTAGGGCGCTATTTGTGATTTTTGCGAAGCGTGGATATGTCATTCAAAAAAATGTTTACAAACACATCCGTGCCAATGTCCACTGCAAAATGGTGACTGCATTGAATGTAATCGAGGTGTATGGGAACAGGGTGGCCGAGTATTCCAATGTTCATTTTGCACTCAATTTCTTTGCGAAGATGATCAGTTTGAACATCAAGCATCATGTCAAGTGTTAGAATCCGAAAATTACAAATGTACGTCAGTTGAATTTTCTCTTTATTCAATTAAATTTACATTCTTCTCGACCTGATCTAGGCGCATCGTGTAGCAAACATGGTCAATGGTCGTGTTTAAGGTATATCCTTGCTTTTAGTAAAATCTTGTGTAGTCTTCCTTTTACAGATGTAAAGTTTGTTACTGTGATGAACACATCAAACGACGGGGTTTTAAATATAACCAAGGTGAAGCTTATCCGTGTCCTAAATGCAACTATCCAACAAGAGAGACGAAAGATCTGTCGATGTCAAGTAAATCTTCGGGTTTTTCAATGTATCAGAAACGCACCGTATCCTATTGTATTTTAGCTCGTGCTTATGATTACGGAAGAAAGACTCAAATTGATTACGAAGACGAAGATGATTCCTTAGGTATGACAAGTGGCTGTGATTATTTCACACGTGGCGAAGGCAGTCGAAATTTTACATTTGGTGGAAGACCTATTGAAGAACGAGCAGCGAGAGATGAAGATGATGGTACATTTCTTTTATTGAAATTAGTGATCTAGTGAATTTATTAATGATTCCTTCGTTTAGATGAAGAAGAAGATGAGGACGGAGAAGAAGACGACGACGACGACGATGATGATGATGATGAGGAAGGAGAAGAAGAAGATGTAGAAGAAAATGTTGAAGAAGAAAGTGAACAACATTAGTGAAAACATTTGTTCTAATTCATTAACCATTTTGTTTCTCGTATCCATTCTTCTAATGTTTTCATTTTATCATAAACTTCTTTTGTTTTCTCCGGATGCCGTTCTTCGAAATCTCCATAGTCATTGTACCATCTTAAATTATCCAGTGATTCCTTTGCTTGTCCAGCACATTGTTCATCTGTCAATTGCGTATATCGAACCTTATCATTACCAGTGACACGTCGAATAATTTCACAGATTTCTTCCATTGTTAAACGTTGTGCAACGATTGGAACAACATTTCCTTGTCCCCATCGATCTGGATGTTCGAAGCATTGAGCAACTACGGCGCCAGTATCACGAACATCATAGAGAGGAAGACGGGCGTGCGGTTTGAGTAAAACCCGAAACTCTAAATCTGCCGTTGGTTGAAAGAACGTATGAAAATTTTGATAATAGAAACCAACATGAACAAATGTGACATAACGAAACAGCGGCGGGTTTTGCTGAGAACGTACATAAGCTTCGATACGCGCTTTCGTCCTAAACGAACAATACTACTCCAAATTCAAAGGCAGGTTCACGTGATCGACTTACATATAATGTGGCAAATCTAATTTTCCATTTGAGATAGCTACTGTATCTGCTAAGCTACTCCAGATAAAATGCTGGACATTTTGTTGTTTTGCAGCATTGACCATATTCATGCCTTGTTCGTATTCTTTAATCGGACCACATTCCCAAAAGTTAGTCATTGCAAAAACACCATACGCTCCTTTGAATGCCTGTGAACATTCATTTAAAGAATCGATGTTACATGACATCACCTCTACGCCTTTTTTAACCAATTCCTAAAACGAAAGCCTAAATCTAATTCCATATCTTTGGTCGATATTCATTACTTGACTTTCTTTCGACGAAACATTCCGTGTCAATCCTCGGATTGTCCATTGATTCGAATTAACCAGGGCATTGATCACACTCCCTCCTTGTCTACCCGTGGCGCCCACAACAACAATCAACGGTTTCATTCTTTCGCTTTTTTTCACTGTAATGTCACTTGAGATAAAAACACAACACATTTACATACTGATAAAACTTCTGTGAGTAATCGGCAAATAGAGATCGACGCATTCTTTTTTCGCCGCATTCACTAACTCCGATATCTTCAAAGACACTGTCATGTAAATATTTATTCGCACTTTAGTCAATCGATTTCTTTCTTTTTATAACCACAGGACGACTAATCCAGGTTATCAATCAAGTTCGAGTAGTGTTCGTTACACACCTTCATCGAAAATACAACAATTACAAGGACAAGTCGATGATGTATGGAAATATTTGCTAATGATGTAAACTATGAACGAGAATTTTGTAGGTTACAGAAGTAATGAAAAACAATCTTCGATTGGAATTGGAACGCGGTGGCAAGCTCGATGATCTAGAAGCGAAATCTGGTAGACAGAAAAATTAGAGATTGAATTGATGTTGTTTTCATTTGTATGAATTTAGATATTTTGAACGAAGGATCTCGACAATTTGCAATTCGTGCGCAAAAGTTAAAAAGGACATATTGGTGGAAAAATGTCAAGGTAAATGCTTCGAAGAGACTTTTTTCTCAAAACCAGATATTCTTTGCTTCCCTTCAGATGTGGATTCTTATTGGCGTAATCGTCACCGTAATCATTGTTATTATCATTGGTAAGTGTCCATATATAAGAAAAGATCAAGTGTAATTTACTCGTTTTTTAGTTGCTGTTGTTCTAAGCACGAAAAAGAAAAGTTAGATAGGAAACTTTTCTTATTGATTTTCTTTATAATCTTTCAATATTATCATAAAAATGCATTTCTTTTTGATTGAGTAATTAAATTGAACAATACAAATAAATCATTACTTATCTACGTGAACGTATACTGGAATCACTATTCATATGAGATGTACAAGTCTTTTTATTTCTTTCAAAGAAAATCTATAACTGTTCTTTTTTCGGATCAGTCAAGTTCAACGCTTGGTTGAGGTGATTCAATTGCTTGAGCTTGATTAGCATTGGCTACAATTCGATTTCTTTTGATTTTGTTTGCCCAAGTCTTACGCCAATTTTTCTTGAAGAGTATATATCTAACTTGCCGACGATACCGAGGTGACGAGATCAAAAAGATATAGAATACGGCCTAAATGGAATCGGAAGAAGGTTGATTTTGAATGAACTCCTTTGTAAAACGTCCTACCGAAGTGTCAATTGTATAAACGATATTGAAACATGTTCGAATCACTTGATCGACAGCAACAGCAAATGGATCATTTTGGTCAGGTGAATGATTGATTTGATAGATTCGTAGGCTTACATAGGGTACCGTCGTGCAGACAAATAAAGCAACACGAACGAGAATCATCGCGGTTAGCTGGTGATCGAGACGACGCCGACCGCCAGCTGCAGGTCGACGAACAATACGACGAACATTTTGATAAGCTAGACAACTAAATAGTAATGATATAACGATTGGGAAAAGACCAATGAATAAACAAAAATGAACGAATGAATAGAAGTAATTGAATCCAGGATTGAAAGTTCCACATATGATTTGAATTTCAAAGTAGAACAAAAATATGACAGCGTATAGAAGAGCGAAGATGATAAGTACAGCGACAGCTCGTTGTGCCAGCTTATAGGTACTCAATTGTCGTAGACGATGATAATAATTCGTCGATAAATATTGATCAATAGCCGCAAAGCAGATGTTAATCGTCAAAATCACGGCGCCCATGTTCACGAGATAAGCCCGAAGTTTACACCAAAACAATGAGATTCGAGTTGCATCATAGCCCGACGCAACCGAAGCAAAGCGAGGTGTTGTTAAGAAAAGCAACTGCCAAGAATCGAATATAGATCCGATTATCAGATAAAATGCCGATGGATTGCCACGAAATAGTCTTAGTTTAGTAAATACCATAATGTTGATCATATGCCCAATCAAACCAGGAATGACAGTTGCATATCCCGAATAAACTGTGAGATAGTAGTTAATTGCTTCGAGTGTATACTCTGAAGAGTTCATGATGAAATGATTTCAATGCGACTGTCGAGTTTCTCTTTTATAAGTGAAAAAACAGAAGATATTGATATTGCGAATGAAATTATTAGCTAAATGATATTCATCTGTCGAAAGTATTGTATTACGAGTCAAATGACGTATGATTTTATTGCGATGAGATATGAGCGATATTATCCAAAGATTTCACTGGAAATCATTAGTCTAAATGCAAGCAATTATTCGCCGTGGGTGAAATTTCAATCGTCTTAGACTGTTACTTAGATAAATTCAATATCTCTGATGATCAGCAGAAGAAATACTCGTTTGCTTTCCGAAAAAAAAAGAAAAAGTTCATCAGGTCTGGCTGAATATCTGTGTGTTCTACTTCTAAAATAAAACTTCATAGACAAGCCTTCGCTTTTGCACTTTCAAGACGACTTTTTTCATTGAATGGATCGATGAATAACATCTTCTAGCAATAACTGATTTTCTTTCACTCAAAAACACCAGCATTCGTTCAACACCTTCGGAAAACACACTTGCGCGACGGTCGACAAAAAAGATGGCACTATATATCGTCATCATCTTTACCTTTCCCATTTGTTCTTTTATTCAAGTAGAATAGTTCTTCCTCTTTCTTGTTTCCGACCATAATTTGATGGCATCGCCATAGTGACAAAAGAAAAATCAACTTGTTTTTAACTAACGTTAGCATTTTGTCATCTATTTACGAAGATCTGCTGGCATGTTTGCATATTAAAATATTCATATTTTCTACTCATCAATAATTTTGGTGCTATAGTTGGTCGACCGTCTGTTCTGAGACATTTTCAGTCAATTTGAACAAATGTCGGATGTCATTTCTTCATATTATCAATGGCCACGCCAATCAATAACAAAATCTACTCGACCCACCGATCGCATATCTCGATCGACTCGTCGTACTGTTCCACAGTTTTCCAAAGAACGATCCTCTCGTTCAACAACACGAAAGATCACACTGTATCGCAATGGAGATCCTTACTTTTCCGGCAAACAGATCAGCATCAATCCGCAAAATTATAGTAGCATGCAACTCTTCTTTCAACAATTATCAACTATCATCGATTTGCCTTATGGTGTACGACGTTTATTTACAATACAAAATGGGTCCGAAATAACTAATGTGAATTATTTGAAAGATGGTGCATCGTATGTGTGCGCATCATTTGAACCATTTCAGAAATTATCATATACAGCGATAACAACGCCCCGAATCCCTCTAAAAAGTGAACACTGTAAGTAACCCTTAGTTTCAGTTCTCTAGCTACTTCGTTTTCTCTATTTTCATCTGTTTATATTTAAACAAATATTTCTCGTCTTCTATTACTTCTTTTTCGTCATAGTAATTGCTTATTCTAATTAAAATATTCTTTAAATATACATAAGAAGGATTTCTTTTCCCTCCCGATGCATGTCGACATTCGTTTGCTTACATCTCTTTTAATTACTATTATGCTTATGCATTACAAAATCAACATCGATGAAAGAAGAAGAAGAAAAATTCTAATTTTGCTTTCTTTTTTATCGAGTCTTATGATTACTGATTCCTTTCTTTCTTTCTTTCTTTCTTTCTACTGAGAAACAATTCGAATATGTAGCTCATATACCAATCAAACGATCTTCTGTTTCTCGACAAGGAACAATTATTACTAACTAATAAACAACAGAACGACGAAGCACTTGCTCAAAACTTCATTTTTTTTGTGCAACGAACGAGATTATAATAACAAAAAAAGAAAAAAAATGACGACGGTAGCAGAGAAAGAGAAGAATACTATGTCAAATAAAAATAAGAGAACAGCGATAAAGTAAAAAGAAAAACAAATGAAGTACAACTCTTGAATCGTATTAACATTCTCGCTCATTTGCACCAAAACTATGTTCTTAACTCCTAAAGTATTCAATTTTAATGTGTATCAATCACTTGGTTGGCCTGGTGAGTTGAAGTGAATGAGAAATTTAAAAAAATGTTTTTCACATCTTAATCGACAAGTTGAAATTAGTTAGAAAACGAAAGTTTCTCTCATGGCAAGAAATCGAATAAGTACTGTGACGAAGTCTTCCGTTTTTCTCATAAAAAATCTCTGCAAAAGTTTTCAAATCTTTTCCTTCTTTAGTTCGTCAACCATTAAATGATATTCATTCACCTAATCGCGTCCACGTACGTCCTTTACCGACGAATCAGTTCACAAAAGTAGGTGCTATCCATGGATCCATATCCACAACTCATGCAAACAATCGTTTACTTGCAAACAATCTCTTTCTACAATCATTCACTTCGACAGCAGCGAATCCTGTTCAACAGCAAAAGAAATTTCATTTCAAACAGAATAAATACACTCCTGAATCTTCATTTAACAAACCTCGTTCGATAACTATCATCAAGCAAGGAAACGAGAAAGTGAATAAAACGATAACTATCTTACTCAATCGAAGAACTGTGCAAACATTCGATCAGCTACTCTGTGATATTTCTGAAGCATTCGGATATCAGAAGAATCGAGCAGATAAGGTACGATAGTTTTCTTTTTGTTTCGAGTTTCAATCGAATTCGAAGGATATTTTACACTGAATAGATCAAACGGTTATTTAACCTACGAGGACGACAAGTAAATGGTATCAATGATTTCTTTCGTGATGGTAAAATTTCATCCTCTCAATTTTCATATTAAACATGCTGTCATCTAGATGATGTGTTCGTTGCTGTCACGCATAATAATGATATATCTTCAATGGATTTGCATGAGATAAGCTTGAAGTTATTCACTGATTCTCAAAGTTCTCCTATGCACCGAAGGCGTGCGAAGAAAACTGTTCAAACATCAACCGACGCTGACACATCCATCGTAGAGCAAAGTAAGAGACTGAAATTTTCTCTGGAGGAAAAACAGACGTGCGAAATATTATGTTTAGAAGATGAAGAAAGTCTTTCGCCTAAGGATAGCGCATTCATGTCAACCCGAGCGACGAACAATAAACAAAACGAAATCGTTCCTGAACACCCCTTCACATCCAACGATTCATCTCCTCTGAAAACGAAGAGTAAAATACTTAAGATTGATCTTCACAGAAGAATCGATGTTTATGTCTTGTTAAAGGAACGAACAAATTACCGACGATCAGTATTATTGAACAGCAACGTGAGCGTGAACGGCAACGTTTGCGTGAAGAAGAAGAACTACGTCGCAAACGAATTCTATCCAGAAAGGAACCGCAGCAAGACATTCAAATATATTCTGTTCCAAAGTTTGAACAACTAGCAATCGATACAAATGCCGATGCTTCTCATCCGAACAAAACCAAAACACCAATCTCAGGTACATAACAAATCGTATGATTCTACTATTTGAGAAATTTGCTTAACTGTTGTTTTTGTTAGTACGAACGAAATTGTCATCGATAAATTCCTTACCGACAAGTTATTCGAATGAAAACGATCTTTCACCTGTATCAAAAACTTTCGTAATCAAAACACGTTCATCAGTTATCGTAAGTTTTCTATTTACTCACCAAGTGACTTTGTTTAATAACTGAAATCATTGCAGCATTCAACACCGTCCGTTGTAACTGATAAATACGAACTTGGCAAAAAGATGGGCGATGGAAATTTCGCCGTAGTTCGTCGTTCAAAAGCGCGTGATAGTGACCGAGAAGTTGCAATCAAAATTATTGATAAATCGAAGATGCAAGTAAGATCATTTACTTGTTTATCACCCATTCTAAGTTTGTTCAATAGGGCAAACAATATATGCTTGAGCATGAAATCAATATCATGTATATGTGTCGTCATCCGAACATTATCCGTCTGTTCGAAGATTATGAAACACCTGAAGAGATCTATTTGGTCATGGAGTTGATTAAAGGTGGAGATTTGTTTGAGTATATCACTCGACATCGTTGTTTCGATGAACCAACATCATCACTTATGATTCGAGATGTTGCTGAAGCTTTGATTTACATACATGCAAAAAAAATCGTCCATCGGGATGTTAAACCAGAAAATTTGCTAGTAATGCATCGAAAAGATGGAAGAATAACAATCAAATTAACAGATTTCGGTTTAGCATTACAAATTACAGATACAATTAAAACAGTCTGTGGTACACCAACGTAAGTTTGGAGTTTAAATAGCATTCGATCCGAGAAGAACAAATCTATTGGTTTTAGTTACGTCGCGCCTGAAATTCTTGCTGAGACAGGTGAGATATTTTAATTGTAAGACGACTCTTTGTATGAAATTCGATTGCCATAGGTTACGGCACCGAAGTTGACTGTTGGGCTATAGGTGTGATACTCTACATTCTGTTGTGTGGCTATCCACCATTCAAAACCGTGGAACGCAATCAAGATGAACTATTTCAAATGATTCAACGCGGCAAATTTTCTTATGATACTGAATATTGGAATTCAATTTCTCCAGGTAGAAAACGATTTTCAAATGAAAACTGTAATTTTCTACGATTGACTGTTTTTATTCTCTAGCTGTGAAGAATTTGATCGATCATTTACTGATTGTCGATCGTCAGAAACGTATGCGTGCTGATCAAATTCTTCTTCATCCATGGATAATCACAACCGGCCATTCGAAATCGATTCTTAACATGGAAGAGTTGAAAAAAACTCTTCGTCTAGAATACGATATGAAAATGGCCGAGTACGCCATGGAAAGTACAACGGCAAGTTGATGAGATTGAATGACAAGTTCATGTCAGATGCTCCTTTCTTTTTCGTTGGTTGGATTTTTCTCCATGTGCATTATCCTTGATTGATCCGTTTCTATTTGATAGATAAGCTATATATTTATTTTTCTATAGCAACATACGACGAAGACAAAGAATGATTTTCGTTTTTTCGTTCTTGAAAGCAACAGTGAACTTTTTATCAAGAATAAATTTATTTTAATCGAAAAACCAATTGGATAAAACGCTCCTTGCATACCTGAAAGAAAAAATCTCCACAACGACACTCGACTTCTCTTCATAGTAGAAAATAAATATTCAGAAAGACGTGATTGTTGCATTAATCCAATCGAGATAAAAGCTAATGCGTGTATAAACACCTGATGAAATCGATGCATCGCATTGTCGATTCCCATAACTAACAATTCCAGCGGCGACGAAATACCCCTTGTCTCCATCACGTTCCACCACAACCAATGGTGCACCACTATCACCCGAGCAAGCATCAATTGGAAGGTTTTCATAACCAGCACAAAGTTGTCGATCAGAATCGGCAATGTATTGACGACACTTCATGTTCTTTTGGTCAACTATTGGAAGGACAACATGCTGGAGGATAGGAGACTTGCGACTCGTCGGTTTGACCAAGATTTTACCCCAACCACTGATCACGGCTTGAGATTTCGCTTGCGGATATGCATTTGATTGTCGTTCTGGTAGACAACAGGGTTGAAGATCTTTCGCGAAGGGTCTCTTTGTCTTAATCAACGCGATATCGTTTACATGCATGCTATCATTTATGCGATAATCGGGATGGACGATCCATCGGTCAATAGCATGACGATCGCCTTGGAAATTGCGAATATCATGTATTTTAGCTAGAATTTCTATTTGATCTGAAAAACGCTCATTCAAACAATGAGCGGCGGTTAGAATAACATTTGAAGAGATGATAAATCCAGCACAGAACGGATCTGTTCGATGACGATCGGTTAGAGTAACAAGCCAAGGATAAATGTACGGCGAAGCATCTTGTCCACCGACGATTTTTGGTACAGAAAACTTCATCTGATTTACATTAGGACAACCGCATGGCCGTTGATTGCAAACAAAATTTGGATATGCTAGAGGTGACGATACAGCCGTTCGATAACGTATAAAGTAAATAATAAACAATGTGACAAATGTGCCGATCAGTAGTAAAGCTAAAAGTATGCTCAATGTGATGATCATACATCGTCGAACAGATCGATCGCGAAGTCTTTGTGACGATTGTATGTATTGCATGTGTTTTGTTTTGTTGTTATTATTATTGCGTTCGAGTGTTAGAAAAAAATATCAATGCATCACTATAGCTAAGCTTTGCCCTTCTAGGAGATTAACCACCAACGTAGACGTTTTTCGTTGTTTCGCTTTCGAAATGATCTTTACATGACAGATATTTTCGTTTTATTTCGTATATTTTCGAAAAAAGATGCAAAGATCAATTAAAATCTACTGGAAATCGTTACCCATCATAACATCATCGTCGTCGTCATTATCAATATCCTTCTTGAATGAAATAGTTTTCTTTTTCTTCATCAATGGTGCTGGTTTTGATTATTCTTCGAATGTATTTGTTGAATCAATGAAATAATGTTCAATACCAGGAAATTTGTCGTGTGGAGCGTGTTTACAGTTAGCACAGCATTTTGGAGTAGAGATGTTTGTAGGTTGAACTTTCTCTTCCGGAATAGAAGTGATTTCAGGTGTAGATGGTTTTTCTTCTTCTTCTTCTTCAGGCGGAAGAATAACTAAAATAATCAGTTGGATTCTATTGTGCACTAATGAAAAGAAACTTGAAGACATACTTTGTAGATTACGCGGTGCAGGCTTATTGACAACAGTAATGAATTCTGCATCTTCTTGAGTTTCATGACTGGGTACAGTGAATTGCATTAAATCAGATCGATATGTTTCTTTTCCATCTAAACAAAATCAATAGGAACTTGTAGCATAAATGAGTGACGTACTATTCAATTGTGCTACTAGTTCGAGTGTATGTCTTTCTCCTGGTTTGAATTCGCCAATCTTCACATGAAATGCGTCTCTAATTTGTTTTTGTCGTATCTAAATAAATCCTTTTCCATTCACTAACTACAAAGAAAATCTGGTGTTAATATACGTGTTGAATATCGAGATTGTCTAAGTAGAGAACATATTTCTGAGCATGATTGTCACCAAGATGATACCATTCTATAATCAGATATGCATGCGGTTTTTCGAGATCTTTATGCCATTCGAAAGTTATATTGGGACTCAAAGTAAACACTCGACCAGTGAAAAAGAAATACTAAATAACAACTATCGATCATCAATTTCATTTCATTTTCTTACAACTTACACGAGTTTTCGATCGTTTTGGTACTCCCGACCATTCTCTGTTCATCGGAATGGCTTCAACATATGCCTGTGGAAACTTTCGTTTGGTGTTCAAACCCGATGCTGCAATCGTTTCGTATTGACGATTAAATTCTACGCGATTGGTTTTATTTACAACTAACTACGAATCACAATCGTTGAAAAGTTGGTAAATATCATATTTTAAAAGAAAGGTTTAACTTACGATAAATTTCTCAATTAGCTTCCGAGATGATTCAGGAGTGATTGTTACCGTTCCATAGATTTTATTATCAGGAAATCTGTAAGATTGAAGATGAAAATCGAGTTGAAGTTCTTGCCATAATTTCTCTTGTTTCTAGAATCGTATTTTATCAATAGAAGTCCGTTGCTTCTTAACTTACCGTATTATGCCTTTCTTTATCGTTTATGATACTATTGAAACAAGACAATGATCATAGAAAACTACTTTTTTAACACACCTCTGTTGAAATCATCACTTACGATGCTTGTTCGATATCAGACATAACTAATCATAAGAAGGACGATCACTTGATATGTTTTATCGTTGAATTTGTTGACAAAGGAATGATTGTTCGTTTGACAGAATATTAAAAAAAAAGAACTTTTCTTTCTCTTTGTCACTGCATTTTTTATTGACGCATATTTTTTCTTTCTCTCTCTGCCTTTCGTTTACACGGTAACGCTAATTTATGGTATGGTGTTACTAAACAACCTACAATGTGTGCATAGATATATATACATCTAAACAAAGAAAAACGACAAGGAGAAACCTTAATTTCTACTTGTGTGATCGTAAGTGGTTGTGTTTTTATTTTTTTACAGAACGTCGACCAAGCGCTTGAGAGTGATGAGTAAAAATCAAGCGCCGAAGCTTTCTTCGGTAGAGTAAAATCTTTATTTGCTCTCAACTTCCATCGGTGATCATATTTTTAGGTTAATGCAGAATCGTCCCCGGAAGATGTTTTCAAGAAACTGAACATTCGGTATCGTGTCTGTACAAAATTCGCTAAAAAGAGGTACGAAATGTTTTCATCATTGTTGAGTACTTATGGAATGATTAGTGACGACGAGCCGGATATTTGTATATGTAACCGACCGATGAGTGCTCACGATGAAAAAGAACCGAGTGAAACACATTGGGATATGCATCACAATACTGTCGAAAAACTCGATCCTGCTCATGGCGTTGTGCTTCTCAATGGGGCACTGGTATGTGAAAAGATCCGATGGATTTTGAATGAATTTTTCTCTGAAATAGTTTACTCGACTTGCCCTGGACACGCCCAAAGTGAAAGTTGAAAGACTGTTTTCTCATTATTGGCGTATGTCAGAACCACGTTTGATTATGTCGATAATCGGTGGTGCGAAATATTTTACGCTGAGTGAACGTTTAGAGTCGAATTTTATCAACGGGATCATTGATGTTGCATTGAAATCAGGTAGGAACAATTCATCGTTATCGGTCTAGAAGAGAATTTCTTGGTAACATACTGCTAGACACATGGTTAATCACGAATGGATATAATGTTGGTATAGTTCAACTCGTTGGACAGGCGATCAATAAAGTAAAATTAACCAAATTAAATCGACATATTACAGCGATTGGACTTTGCAAATGGGGAAGTATTAAAGACGTGGAAGCGCTCACTAGTTCTCAAACAACAAGTAAACAAGTAATTAGACAACAGCCGTCTGAATAGCAAAACTGTCGATTGCTTCATTTTTTAGAGTAAAAGTCGAACGACTATAAGTGATACTAGCAACGATGATGATAAGAAACGTGAAAGAGGTCAACGAGATTTGGAACTGAATCATAGCCATTATTTAATGTTAGACGATGGACGACATCGATTTTATGATATTGGTGATTACCGAACGAAACTATGTGCACATTTAGCAAAATTACAACATGAATACGAACCGCCAAGTTCGATTTGAAACATCTTTCTATTCCAATTTTTCTTTGTCTTCCACTAATAGTTCCGGTCGTGACAATTGTTGTCGAAGGCGGACAGGATACAATCGCGAATATATATTACGATTTACGAGAGAATATTCCTGTTGTCATCATCGATGTAAGTTAATCATGTGAATATAAAAGTACTTTATATGAGAGACTTATGAATAGGGCAGCGGACGCGTTGCGGACTTCTTCAAACGTTGTTTACTATATACGAAAGAGTTTGACGAAGCGGATAAACACTCTGACATTGCATATGAAATTGAAGAGATCAGTGACGTCTCTACCGATACAACAAGAGCAACTAAGAAACAGCATTATGATGAACGTACTGGAAAAACAAAGTAAGTTGCTTATAGATAGAATATATATATATATATCTGTTTTTTTCGTTGTTATTTAGTGAATATACACACGTGACAGTTGAACTGGACAAGTCTCGGAATACGTAAGTGAATGAGTGCATAGTTTCTTTGTATATGTGCAGTTCTATTATACTTGTAGACTTGAGGGAAACTTTGAAAAGTTTGCTGATCGCTTAAAAAAGGATTTGGCTGCTCTTTTATCACATGAAAATGATTCAGCGAAACGAAGTTCAAAATCAAATAAAGATGATAAAGGATTCATCACAACACTTCGGCAAGTCATGTATTGCCTCCAGCCTGCTGTTCGCTCCGGTTTATCTGTATTTAATTTAAACTCAGATAATGACCTTTCTGAAACTATTTTTCGAAGCATCTGCAAAGGTAAAGCTCATTCTTTTCAAACAACTTCATAGTCTCATTATGATGTTTTCAGCACAGCAGAAGTATTTCGAACGACGAGAACTGGACCAAGCGGACGTGATAGACATGCGTCACCGCAGGTTTCAGCCACCGCCCACTGCCGAAACGATTCAACGACATGCAACCGCAACTAACAATGTTCACAGACGGGATCGAAGTGCGCAACGTTCTGATTTATTACTATTAGCAATGGATTGGGATTGTATCGACGTTGCAAAAGAGCTGATTTTACAAAATTCCATCGATAACATTTTAGTACGTAGAAGATGTCGATGAACTCTACTAATCTATTTGCTTTTAGAATAAAGAAGAAGCTTTTCGCTATGCTTTATCACAAAATTTACCGACATTCGTCTATGAATTTCTGAAATTAGGTGTTAATCCAGCTGAAATCTTCTTTCCAAGGGAAACATTCTTTACCGGAAGAAATCGTTATAGGAAACTGATTGAATGCATATATCGAATCGATAAAGAAGTATCCTACTACAATTTTTTTTTCTTTGATAATTCTAACAGAAACATTTCCTTCTAGACAAATGATCAGACTCATTTAAGTTCATTCATAGAAGCAAGTGACGAAACCGAAAAATGTATTCGTACAACTGATGATCTGAACACACTTCTCGCTACACTTGTCGGTGATTATATGCATAAATTATATTTTGACACCCGTGAAGAAGAGATTCAACATAGACGATCTTGGGGTTTAGTTGATGATGCCACGGAGACAAACTCAACGTCTGTTTACATTGTTGAAAATGAAGAGAATTATGCAAGAGCTGCTTGTAAAGAACTTGTTAGTGATTATGTCATGCGCGATCTATTCATCTGGGCGATACTAGTGAATCATACAGACATAGCAAAAGTGTTTCTAAGTCATATGAAGTACCGAATATGTGCTGCATTGGTTGCTACGAAGATTTTGAAACAATATCATAAAAGAGCAGCACATGGAGATTTGAAAGATGGATATGCGAATAGTATTGACTATTTTCAAAGTTATGCCATTGCTTGTATCAATCAATGTGAGAAAAATGATCCGGAATTAGCTTGTGAAATTGTTCTACAACGAATTGAGTTGTATGGAAATGCGTCCTGTTTACAAGTATGTAGAAAAACGTTTTTTGTTGGATATTTATTTGAATGCGTATGTTGAAGGTTGCTGCCGATGCTGAAGATAAACTATTTATTGCCTCATCATGTTGCGTTCAAGCCATGCAAAATATTTGGTATAATAAAATGCATCCTGATCAATCAAGAAAACGAAATGAAGTCGCAATGACAATCGGTTTCTTCTCATTTGGATTGTTAGCTCCATTTCTAGTCAATTTTCGTAAAGTATCCAAGGTGAGATTGCATTTCTTATCACGAAAGTAATTGTCTCGATCGTTGATGTTTAGTTACAGAAAGATCAACATTTAACTCGAACGTATGTCACTCGTTCTAGATAATATTCAACGTATACAAAGAAATATTCATATTCTTTTAGTTTACAACCGTATGGTATAAACTATCCTGATCCGTATCCACTTGAACATCCTCGATATTGCAAAATACCGCCAGTGAACACCTATCTGCATAATGTGAAGAACTTTTACCAATCCTTGCGCGTAAAATACTGTTGTCATTGCGTATGTAGTCATTTAACTCAATGGTAATAATCATGATATTGATTTTAGATGGTTTACTGCTTCTTCCTTCTACTGTTCTCGTACGTACTTCTGTTTGACTTTCAACCGCCGACAGATAGCATACCATCGATTCATTGGACGGAAATTTTAACAATTATCTTTGTTTCGATCATGTTAATTGAAGAAATTCACTATGTAAGTATTGATGCATGATCAAATAGAGTGAAGAAAGGCATCTTTTTGTTCTAGTTTATCGGGCAAGATAGTCTGACGATGCTTGGCAAGTGTATGAGTTACTTTCAGAGTTTATTCAAGATTATGACGCTGCTAGGATTCGTACTCTTCTATATTGGATTAATTCTTCGATTTACATATGCGAGTGATCAAGTTTCTTTCGTGGCGGCAAGGTATTTATTGAAATAGATTGTCTGTGTCTGAACCATAAGTTCGGAAAAATCGATTTTGTTCTACTTCAACTATTTTTCTCATACAAGTCAATATTCTTTTCTTTTTTAGAGTAGTAATGGCATTTGATCTGGAAATCTGGTGGCTTCGTTCGTTGTCGTTCATCATTGTTGTACCCTTTCTTGGACCTCATCTTGTTGCTATTGGAAAAATGGTAACTTGTTCTCACATTCCTTCGAACAATCTGATTTTGATATTCTTTCTCTTCTACTAGCTGAAAGATCTCTTATTTTTCATGTGTATTATCGCCATTGTTATGACTGGATACGGAGTTGCTTCTCGATCAATGGTCTACTATTCCAATGCGGATCTATTTCCAAGTGAACAGATTGATACCTCTTTCAATGGACGAAGTATATTTCGTCAGATTGCTTATCCAGTATATTATCTCATGTATGGAGAGTTTGGCAATGAGCTATCCGATCTTGATGGTAAGTCAAATTTGCATTTCACCAATTGATGACGGATTCTATTTTCATAGCAAATCGTGATGCCGGATGGTCAATCTCGACGCATGTCCTGCTCGCGGCTCATATGATTTTCGTCAATATTCTTCTAACTAATTTGTTGATTGCCATGTTCAGGTAGATAATTGCATAAGAAGATGACTATTCAATAATTAGCAGTTTTCTTCCAGTAAACGATTCGATCAAGTTTATGAAGATACACAAAATATTTGGCATTCTCAGCAATACATTTTTACTAGAGAATATTACACGCGGTCTCCATTTTTTCCTCCGATTAGCCTTTTCTACGATATTTACTATTTGTGTCGTATCGCATTTTTCTCTATTCGTCGAAAGTGCTTCAAAAGTAAAGTCGGAGATCGCCGAGCGAAAGTCTTCAGTAAGTTTCGATTTCAATAACACAAACGATCGCAACGTTTCCTTTAAGAAATGATTCCGGTCAATAAAGACGTGGAACGACGATGGTATGAATTCGAAGGTGCATCAACGTATGAATACGCTCATGCTGAAGTGAAATTGGCAAAAATTTCATCGACTATGTTAGTAAAAATACGTAGAAAAAGAATTTCTTACAATTGTATACTCGCTTTAGATCAACCAGCGGATCAGATTCGACGAAAAGCGAAAAGAAAGACGATGCAACTGATAATAATGCCGCGAATGGGGATGCAAATAATCCAGCGAATAACATTCGTCAAATACAAGATTATTTAGCAACTGTGAATGACACTTTGGAATTAATGAAGACACAATTGAAAATTTTAGTTGAAGAAAAATATCATTAGTGAAAGAAATTCATATGACGTATTGACAAAGATGAAAATGTTGTTTATCTACTGAGTTTTATTTATTCTCGTGATTTTCTCAATAAATATCTATTTTACAAGAAATCGACACGGGTGAGAGAGTGCGTAGACTTATCAAGCTACTGTTCGACTCATTGCTAATGGTTTGCATAAAAACGACAGATTGACACGTTGTGTATAGTGCTTTTAGATACAATAAACCAATCTCTATCATCGCGAAAAAGAAAGAATACTTGTCATTTATCGTTTTTGTAAAGTGTTGTGTATGATGTTACGACCAGCTATTATCTTAGTTTTAACTTTATCATATGTTGGTGCATCTGACAATGAGGGGTGCACACGAAATGTACATCCCATTGATCGAAAGTATTTCTATATTGGAGGTGAATATGTATTCGATATGGCAACCAATAGATCTCTTATGAGTGGACAGATGTATGTGGAACATCTAAGTCCGTCTTATGGCATTCAGCAACCGTATCCATTAGTTTTAATTCATGGAAAAGGTATGACTGGAACCAATTGGCTTAATACTCCGGACGACCGACCAGGCTGGGCAATGTATTTTCTCGAACAAGGATATGAAATTTACATTGTTGATCAACCAGCACGCGGTCGATCTACATGGCTATTGAATGATATGATTGAAGTGAACATGTTTTCCGCTGAGATGATCGAAGAACGCTTTACAGCATGTAGTTTTTATAAACAATGGCCACAAGCAAGTGTGCATACACAATGGCCTGGCGATAATAACCTTACTAAAGGTCGAATGGGTGATCCAATATTCGATGCTTTCTATGCGTCAACTGTTCAATTTATTGTTAATGAAACCATCACTCAAACACTGATCCAAAAAGCTGGTGCAGCTCTATTAGATAAAATTGGTTCAGCTATTCTACTGACTCATTCGCAGAGTGGCAGTTTCGGATGGGTGATTGCCGATGCACGACCGCATCTTGTCAAAGCTATCGTTGCTATTGAACCAAAAGGGCCACCTTTCCAAGAAGCTGTTTTCTCAAATAAATCCGCTCGTTCTTGGGGAATAGCTGATATTCCTCTAACGTACGAGCCTGCTATTAGTTCATCAATTGATCTACTTACCAAAGAAGTTCTATCCACACATGACAATTTAACATCATGCATTCTTCAAAACGAGCCTATTCACACTCTTATTGATCTGATCGATATTCCTGTTTTGATCGAAACTTCTCAAGCATCGTATCATGCCACTTATGATCATTGTACAGTGGAGTTCCTACGGCAGGCAGGTGTTCATGTTGACTTCATTCGTCTTGAAGAGTTAGGAATCTATGGAAATGGTCATATGCAAATGATGGAAAAGAATAATCTTCAAATAGCTGAAGTTCTTCATCAATGGATTCGCAAAACTGTACATTGAATAGGAATAAAGTTCAGTTTTTCATATCGACATTTTTCTTTATTTAGGCTGAAAAACTATAAGAGCAAAATGAAGAGAAAATATAAATAAGACAAATCAATGGGGGACATTAATGTTTGTTTCCAGCACTGATCTTTTGTGTATCGCCGTGACCATGTCCGTGAGCATCCGAGATTGCCTTTTGTGGCCGTGGTGGAGCGCCAATGGGATCAAGTGCTTCATCTGGCATGACCCATTCGTGTTTGTGTGGAAGTAATTCACCACCTTGTTCGACCCACCAACGTAACGAATCTCGTTTCTCATATGGTAAAAATTGAATATCTTTCAATTTATCATGTTCATCTTTGTCCCATACACGTGGATAGACAGCTTCAGGCATGTAGAAAGAAGCTGAAATGAATAGAAACGAATATATTTCAAGTTCAAGTAGAAATTTCATCCTACCTAATTCATAAGTAACTTCATCAGCTGGAGGTACATTGTCCCATCGATCGAATTCTTTTCGCAGTTTTTCTACTTCACCTTCGGCTAGTTTGACGAACTCCTGTGCACGTTTTTCTTCACTTTTAGCGTATTCTTCAAGTTCCTTAAGACGATTCGCACTGTCTTTTGGATAAGCAATCTGGGCATTTTCATACTACCGAAAACAGACACTCGACATCATGCGAGCAGAAAACTCAGATGTTTAACTTACTTCTTTTTGAAGTTTATCAACTAGTGTTGGATCAGAGACCATTTTTCGATAATAACTAAAATCAATTTTGGGTAATGTGTCTGATAGGGCATTCATTCTAAGGAAACAAAGTTTAATTCAAACATGTTCGTTTTGCTTGACCATTCTTACTTTACTGCTGCTTGACTCCATTTCGATTGCAGATTGGAAACTGTTGTTGTATTGGAGCCGCTTAATTTCAGTATACGATTCCAATCCATTTTACTTGCTGTAAAACGAGATGCAGCAACTGCTGAACGACCTGCTTGTTGTGCCATGACAATTCTTTACTATCTGAAAAAGTAATCGCATCATAACATTTGTAGTGATCAGAGAAATTAACGAAATCATGTGTTTTTCAAATCTATATTTGCTTTGTTTGACTTAAAAAAAGAGAAAAAAAAAACTAAAATCGCTTGATTATAGATATGGACAAGATTCAAGTTGTGCTAGTTGATTTTAGAAACGACAACTACAATAGTACAGAAAATAACCATTCATTCTTCAGCCGAATATGTTATTATTTCATTCCACTACAAGACGAAAGTTAGTCACATTAGATGATAGTTTTACTTTTTACTATGAACTAGGTTCGAATTTTCGTACATCGATAAATGATCAAATTCCATACTAATCGTTGTCGTTTTACAGGATAAGTAATACATAGCACGCTTGATTAATTATATATTTAAATGGATTTATTTCCTGGAATGAATAAATGTAGAGAGAATGATAGATTGCTTTCGAATTTTGCTGGGGAACTTACCATTTGCGTGGTGGTGGAGTAGCAACTTCACCGGCGTCTTCTAGGAAGACTGGATCATTTCCGCGTCGTGATTGATCACCAGATACACCTTTTGTTTGTGGAAGAGCGTCTTTAACGGTATCACGAACAGATTTAGCCGCATCTTCGACTTGCTCTTTAGCATGAGTGAGTGATTTTTTCACTTGTTTTGGATCGGGCAATGCATCGCGAACGGTGTGAACAGCATCTTTAACCTAAGACGCAACGTTATGTATTTTTCCTCTACGAATAAACAAGAAATACCTGATCAGCGGCGTGAGTGACAGCACCTTTAACTTTTTTATATTCGGGCAGTTTATCATAAGCATCATTGATAGCATCTTTAGCTTGTTCAGAAGCCTTTTGAATTTGTTTTTGATCTGGTAATTTGTTATAGGCAGCATTGGCAGCATCTTTAACTTGTTCACCTGCTTTGCGGATTTGTTCCTTATCAGGTAAACGATCAGTGACACCTGACAAGTCCGGCATTTTTTCGGATATGATAGTTGTCAATTTCTTGTGACGACCGAACACAGGGTCGATGATTTTATCGAGTCCAGCTAAAATTGTTGAACTCAATGGAATCGTAGATTCAACTTTGCGACGGAATGGACCATTGTCATATTCAGCATAGACAAGCGTAACACCGAGACCGAGTGCGAGGCCATAGACAACTGCCTTGACTGTACCACCGCTGCCTCCAGCACTAGCGCCAGCCGACGAGGATGAAGACGAGGATGTGACGGGTCTCGATGTTGGTGGTGGTGTTGTGGTCGTTTTCTGCGGATTATTTGTTCGGTCGATAGGTCCATTCGATGATGGATTTGTGGATGCTGTTTGTGATTTGCTAGCCGATGGTGGATTGGTAGTTTTAGCTTGAGTTGAGGTTGAACCTGGCGTCGATTTCGCCGAAGCAGTGGTAGCTGAACCTGACGAACTAGAGGATTGCTGAAATCTCTTGGCGACAAGAGTTAAATTTCGTGCTGCTGGTTGAGCGCGAGAGGGATTTATTATGCGGAGCATTTGATTAAATTTCGATAGTTTTCCTTTGCGAAAAGATAAAAACAAAATCTATAAGTAAATCAGAACAATCAGTTAGATGAAGAAAAGTTCGATAAGTGTATTTGATTTGTCTTTTCTCTCAGCATAACCATAATGGTTTTCTATCAGCCATCTTGTGGTGTAGAAGCCATTAAGACTTCTTGATAATAGACTTTCACCCCAAAAATTCCGGCTCATATTCTAAAACTCATTTTTTTCAAAGATTATTGAATATACATTAGAAATTAAAAGAACTTTTCAACGAAATGTTCAACCTTTTGTAAATATTTGTTATTGTAGATGCCGCACATAGTCACTCATTGGTTTTCTTTGTATATGGAAATCTTGGTTCTACTAATTTTATTGACGCTTTTCTCGATTTAGACTAAAGTTAGTATATGCTATAGATATTAAAAGCTATGGAGACTACAGAAAAACATCTAGTTAATAAGGATCTATTGCTATTTCTATTGTTCTATATGAAGATTTTCACTGGTATTATTCAGTTTGTTTCCAATAATTTGTAATTGATGTAAAATTTGGTTGATATCTCTTCTCAATTGGATATCATAGTCCTGGGGAGTACCATATCGATGATGTTGAAATTCCCGACAAAGTCGGGCACAGTGAAGATACGCAATAACTTGCTTGCACCTCTCTTTTTGATTATCTTTACTACGTATTGACCGAATTCGTTTGTTGACATGCTGTAAACGCCACCATGCTAGGATAAATCGCGCTGCTGGTCCATATAATTGTTTACGCGCGTGACGTTTTTCATCGACGGATGTTAAACCTGCAGAAATAATTCCAGCTGGAAGTGTCCAAAGAACGACACCTATACAGCACAATGTTGCTGTTAGGAGTCGACCTACAAGTAAATAAGGCAAAGTATTAAACTAATCGAAGGAAAATGGACATCACCAATCAATGTCTGAGGCCAAGTATCACCATAACCAATCTACATATAGGAAAAGAAACAAGTAATGATTAGATTTGCATTCATGTTTACCGTCGCCATTGAATTGATGGTAAACCATAATGAATCGGTGTATGTTTGAAAAAAATATAGATCATTGGTTTTAATGGATCTCTCAACAATCCAAAGAAGATAAGCTGTTGGTAACATAAGGAGAAAGCACATGTAAACCGTGGCTAGAAGAACTCGACGGTATTGCCGGACGATCTTCCAAATCAACGGAATCGATCCAATGTATCGATCCAACGGAATAAACCGAAACAATTGAAGGAAACGTAGTGCATGTAGAAAAAGAGCATGCGAGTGGTAAAACTTCGCAAAATTCCACAGAAAAACGATCCCGTAACACACTAACAGAAGAAAATCGAAGATCAAATAATGTTCCAAGAAGAATCGACGTTTGCCTTGCATCCCACAATAACGTTCTTTGGCATTGGATGCATAAATTCGAAGAATAAATTCAATTAAACAATAGACAAAAATGCTCAATTCAATGTAGAACAATACCGGTACACTTGCCGTACGATGTTCATCGTAAGTTGTTAATGTACCGACATATGTAGCAAATGTAAAGACGAAAAAGAGAACATAAGCATAAATGGGTGTTTGTTCAAATAATCGATATAGAAATAGTGAGAATTTCGGTGCATGATGATGACGATGTTGATATGGTTTTTGACGATTATGGTCCAGTTTTGATGGTAAGAAGATTTCTGACTCGACCTGCATCTGTCTTCGGTACAAACGGATACGAAAATGACAACTGACCTTTTCGAGATTTTTAACTTTGATTACTAAAGTTCTTCTCTTATCAAATGTCTGATCATATTAATTACCAACACAATCTTGAAATTCCGATGAAAATCTATCTGACTTTCTTTGAAAAAAGGTTATTACTGACGTCTATCTTCGAAATTAAAATCGATAGATCAAAACAGATTGTTGTGTTATTTCCATTGCCAATTCATATGTGGATAGAAGACGTCTGTCAATATGAGCAAACCAACATCTTCAAATTTCCTAGCCAAATCAGTATCACAACAACAAACAGATGAAGTGGAAATCTCGACAAATAATCTACCACATTTCGACTTTGTCGTTCCAGCGTACAGCAAGAATCGACGGTTATCATCAATCACTTCGACTGTTTTGCCTGAGACACTCATGAATACGATTTCAGCAAACGTTAGTTTCTCCAGCGCTGAACAAAATCCGTCATCACCAGAAACTGAAAACAGTAGAAAGAAAGGTAGAAAAGTGATTTGTTCATTTGTCAAACGCTCGTTTTTCTATTATCAATTAGAGGATGAAAATCGATACTCATTGGAACAAATGATCTCCTATCGTCATGGGCAACATGTTGAGGATAAGGCGTTATCTCGTCCAGTTCGGTAAGAAACTCTCGTAAGAGATTATTCGATAAGATGATGAACATTTAGGCGATTCTACGCGAGGCAGGATGAAATGATTGATCAGTTATCAACAATTCATGAACGACACACATCTGGTTCGTCGCACGATGAACGCGCGGAAAAACACAAACGATGGACGATCATATTGATCAAAACTACACTGATTTCTAACATCGTAAGATAAATTAATTCAATGATTAAGGGTGTGAATTCGTACTGTTGTGTTTTGCTAGATTCTGGTTTTAGGAAAGATCTTTTCTGCGATTATATCCAAATCTCTTTCAATTGCTTCGTCTGCTATTGATAGTGCTATTGACTTAATGTTAAACTTTGCTATTTGGTGGGCAAATAGAGCTATCAGACAACGAAATCCATATCTCTATCCACAAGGTTTATTTGTATAACTATCGATTGTATGCATTTCATAGAGAATTTGTCTTTTCGCATAGGACGAACACGACTTGAACCGATTATTATCATTATACTAAGTGTGGTTATGTGTGCAGCTAGTTTTCAAGTGATTTTTGAAGGTGTTCGTTCCGTTATTGAAGATGTCAACTATTTTCGGAATGTTAGCGGTTATGCTTATGAAAAACCACCCGTCGATATCAATCCTGCTGCTATTTCAATTATGTGTATCACTATTGGTAAGATCTACGGATCTTGTTCATACGAACATTGCTTTTCTTTTATACCCTGTTCTGTTAAGTTATCAAAATTGTATTGGCGGTTTTATGTTATCGGATTTCTACGCCGACGATGTCCGCTCTGGCTGCTGACCATCGAAATGATGTAGTTGCAACAGTTGTCGCCTTGGTTTTTGGTATTATTGGTAAGATAGAATTCAGATATGCATAGTTGTTTTGAGAAATAAATGATATTCTTAGGATCCAAAGCAATCGATGGAGAAATTAAACCGAGAGAACTATCAGTTATTGATCCAGTTGGTAAGTGTATGAGTCAGACATTCAGTCATACCAATTCGATAACTTTTTTAGGTGCAATTGTGATCAGTTTATACATTATCATCTGTTGGATTCCTCAAGTTCGCCGTAAGTTTTCGGCATTTTGTCGAGTTCTTATTCAATCCTATATGAATATTTAGTTCATATTCGGAATTTGACTGGTTACACGGCACCTAGTCACTTTCTTCAGCAATTAACTTGGCTTGCTTTTCATCATTCGCCTTTAGTACGTAAAATTGATGCTGTCCGCGCCTATCATTTCGGTACGCATTTTTTGGTCGAAGTTGATGTTCTTCTTCCCAATGATTTGCAATTGAGTGATGCAGTTCATGTTGGCATTGATCTCGAACAAAAGATCGAAGCATTACCCGAAGTAGAACGTGCTTTTGTTCATCTAAATTGTGAACAACCAGATACGAATACGAACACGAGTACCATTCCACTCGAGCAAGAACAATCTGCAGCTGCGGCTATTAATCGACGACAACATAAGGTTGTCTGATGAATAAAACCTTCTAGTTTTGCCTAAACACCATCGATAATTTTCGATTAATTCTCTAATATTTTCAAGAACGTTTCCTCGATTTTTGCGTAGATATTTTATTTATAAATAAACAACAACAAGAAAAGATCACACATTCAATTCCGAAAATTACCTCTCTCATCTTGCTGATCAACACTGCCATGACCATAATAATTATCATAATCGTTCTGACTACTACTACCAGCTGCTATAGCATAATCATATTCAGATAGCAAATGTAATTCCGAATAAGGTGTTGGATAACCATGCCGTGTCGGTGAAGTCAGCATCGGAGGATAAACATTAGGCGGTATATCATCCGTATATAAACCCCAATGTGGACGAACCGCACGCGAGGACGATTGACGATTACTTGTTATAGTTGAACGTATGGCTTGTTGACCATCTTGTAAAGCAAGCGATGTAGCCATGTCTTTTGTTGATACTGATGATGGTACATTCGACGGAATGATTTGTTGAGCGGATGTCGCGTTTGAATTGGAGTTTGCCGCAGCGGCAGCTGTTCCAGGTGCCGCTTTCAAACCTTTGGGTGGCGGTGATTTAGGTCGAAGTTGTTCAATGCGTTCAGTGATGTTTTCAAGTGCTGGCAGCGAGGTTTCGAAGTATGACTTATAAATGCGATGGTCGAAATTTGATGTGCAGATATCTGAACCAACTGAGAACCAACCACGTCGAATAGTGGACTCTCGAGCAAACAAATGTAGACGACGACGGCCCAAACAAAAATGTTCTATAATATGATATAGTTCAATTGGTTTGTTTGGATCGCCCCATTCGGGTTCTTCAGTTATGATTAAATCGATATCCACATTGGCATGGATAAAGTCAGAGTCCACAGAACGACGAACGGTACCACGAATACCCATCAAACAATGTTCCTTTAAACAACGATAAAATCATATGTTTAAGAACGGCAAGATGAATTACTTTAGTCCGTTGAAAAATGGAATCTGATTGCAACGTCAGTGCTGTTCGAGAATTCGTTCGATTCGTTTTCACCCAACAGATATCTTCACATCGTCGAAATCCCCATTTTTTCAAACACTACAACATTGAATGCATTGAATTCATTTTCCAACACTGTTTCTCTACATACTGCTCGTCCTTGATCCAAACCTTCGGCAGATCCACACCATAGAAAAACAAACGATCGCTGAGCTGCCACCGATTCCACATCAAGTTTTATCACCTAGTTATTTTCTTCGAATTAAATCAATTTCTCTATCATTAAACTTTCACTTACCTCTTCCCAGGTGACATAACGATCAAAATGAATTCCACTTGTTCGTTTATATTCTTCCAATGGTGGCTCAATAAGAATAACATCAAATTCACAATCAAGTGATGCCAACGTAAAATTATTTGCTAACAAATCGCAACGTAGATACATCGGCGGAGGACTGGTTTTCTCAATGTAATCATCTTTTAGACGAATTAATTCACGTAATTTAGGATACTCTTCAAATCGACCACGAAGACCTGTTTGCAGTTTCCGAAGTTTACTCATACAATCAAGAGAATATGGAAATGTACAAACCTGCATCGCGAATATAATTCTGCGGTCGTTGACCCGTATTTACAAATTGTTGACAGTAATCATTATTCGGTGCCTGTAATTAAAAAAGAAATTAGACACAATGTAAAATGAAGTTCATATATATACTTCATCAAATTCATCGTCATCTAGCCGAGATATTTGATCATATAGATGAACCTTAAAGAAAGAAATCTGATTAGTTTCAATTCGGAGAAGCAAATGGAAGTCATACTTCATCAGTAACAACACGAGATGTTTGAATTGGTTTGGAATCGTCCGTTTGTTTGCGTTCCGCTTGCGTCCTGCATCATCACATTCAAATGTACAACTCGAAAAATTTCTTTAACTTTACTTGATTTTTGATAGAATTGAGTCTTTAATAGTTTCATCACACTTGTCTACTACTAGTCTCGATAGAGCTGTCGAGCTCAAGCCAAACTAAATGAAAATAATGTTAAATGTTTCGACAGTTGAAGAAAAAAGTAGAACGGCTTACAGATTTAGCTAAGGTTCGTTTGATTATTGCATTACGTTTTTTTAAAGTCAATTGAAATTTCTTCTCCGGATCTGTTTCTGCTTTCAACAAATCATCGTACTCATTGTCGCTGACAGTTTTTCGTCGTTTGGACTTTCCAGATGATTTCGTTGATGATATACGAGTGTCACTTCGTCGACGTTCTGTCGATCGGGACCGACTGTGACGAGTGCGTTTGTTCTGGCAAATATAAAAAATATTTTTTCAGAAGAATATCGAATGGTTCTTACATCGTAACGATTGTCTCGTCGAGATCGTTCATCGGAACGAGTGTGTAGTCGATGATGTCGACTACTTGATTGAGAAAAATGGCGACTACTTACAGGTGCCATGTCAACATAGTCTCACAGTTTTCTTTTACTTGGAATTATTGTAAAAAATTAGGATATGTGATGAGGAATGAAACATTCTATTTAGTTGTCTTGTTCCTATGAGAAGTATGAACAATTTCTTCTTTCAAAAATGCACCAATAGAAAAGGAAATGAGTCACAATGTAGAATTGTCGAGTAGAAAATAGAAATATTTGAAGAAAGCGAAAATTAATAAATGGCCATTTTATCGTATAAGTTTAACTTCCAGATTTTCAAATAGATGTACTAGAAGAGATTGGCTACGTTGTCGCTAGTGCTAATGTTTATTTCATTGAGTTTCTTAAAATAATTCACGTCGACCTCGTATATTCGAGTAGGTTTATTGTACACACTGTTTTAATATTGATGCGCCAAATATAGAATATTGAAGACTTGTTTCTCTTAGACGTTAGAAATAGCAGTACGTACAAGTCGAGCACGCCATCTGTCGATCAACTTTTCATTTGGTCAATCAATTCGAAAAAAATACCTACAAGCAAGATATGAAGTAAAATAGATCAATCGTTCGAAAAAACAGGTCGTATTATCCAATGACGTTAATATAAATCCAGTATTCGAATAATAAAAATCAATGACTCGACTATTGAATCATTATTTTTAGGAAAACGAGTCCTTTATTGTTGTATTACTTTCCAGATAATATTCTCACCATTCCACACGTGTCCAAGGATAAATTTCAATCATTAGTCACGTGTGATTAGAAAGACAGGATGACTAGTGCTATTCATACACTCTACAACAGTCTGACACGACGAAAAACGTTCGAAGCAGAAACCTTGCATGCTTCTCAATTGAAGCGATGCTTAACTTTATTTGACTTAACTATTTTGGGTAAGTAATCGATTGCGATGATATTATTAATCTTTGTCTTTTCTTTTTCTAGGTATTAGTTCAACATTGGGAACAGGCACATATATTCTTACTGGTCAAGTTGCTCATGAAACGGCAGGACCATCTGTGATTCTTAGTTTTCTCATCGCAGCTGTTGCATCTGTACTTGCCGGACTTTGCTATGCAGAATTTGGTGCACGGACACCACGTGCTGGAAGTGCCTATACATATACATACGTCAGCGTTGGAGAACTTATGGCTTTCATTATCGGTAAGATCGTGTTTTATTTAAACGAAACTCAAATTGTATATTTGAATTTAGGTTGGAATATGATTTTAGAATATGTGATAGGTAAGTCGATTAGACAGCAATTTTTGTGACATGCTTTAGTAGTATTCAATTACGTAAACTTTGATATTGTTATCTGTATACTATTCAAGTATGGAGAGATAATAAGTATACAGATTTTAAGATAAATACCATAGTGTTCTTTAAACTTACTGATGAGTGAGGAAGAAGCGTTAATTCGTCATAAATTCATACCGACTATAGACCACATTCGTTCGATATTCTCGTCATGTGATTGCCCTAGTTTTTTGACGGAGTGATCGTATTCACGTAGTTATCTTTAGAACTTTATTGCATTTCTTCTAACAGATATTGAAATTGTGAGGTAAATCGATATCATCAGTAAGAATACAATCGATCTGTTTTACAAAGCGAATACTCGTGACTGGTAAGAATAGAAAGCACTCAAAACAAGCATCAACACCCCCACAGCACTTGTTTTGATTATTACTAATATATACAAATACTGCTTTCTCTTTAATGAAAGTACTGCGAAGCAATCATTCAATGTTGAATGTCATTTATACGATGTCAAGAAATGATTGCTTTTATTTTCAATGAAGCGTAACTTAAAAATATCAAAATGAAGTATAACCGACGAGTGTCGTTGTCACGGATATAAACTAAATGGAAATTATTTTGAATAATAGAATAAAACCTCTTCCACATTGTCCTTTGAAAGTTCGATTATTATAAACGTATGAAATCGTAAAACGAAGAATAAAATCGTCTATGATCTTAGTTTTTTGATTCTGTAGATGTGTGCAATGTTGAACAATTGATAGAAGTTTGTTCTTGCTATGACTTTGATCGAGCGCTTGCTAATCTTCATGATTGTTGAAGAAAAACAAACGATAGATATTGTTTCTCTGTCTTTTAGGTGCTGCGAGCACAGCTCGTGCATTAAGTTCATATTTCGATTCCTTGATTGATTTTACTCTAAGAGAATACTTTACTCAACATTTTCCATTACATGCGGGAATGTTCTCAGCATATGCCGATCTATTAGCAATGAGCTTTTGTCTTCTTATCACAGGTAAATCAATCGTCAAATGAGGAATTTTCGAAAATTTCAAGATCATTGTTTAGTTCTTCTGGTCATTGGAATCAAAGAATCCGCTGTCTTGAATAATCTTCTTACAGCTGTGAACCTCACTGTGATTTGTCTTGTCATTGTTGTCGGTTTAACGAAAATTCATGGACATTATTGGAATATATCGCCTGATGAAGTATGCTGTAGTGCCATGTAATATCGATGCTTATGTTTGTAATTTCATTCGATGTAGGTTCATAATATAACAAATAGCACTGGAAAAATTGGTGACGGTGGATTCTTTCCTTTTGGATTTGAAGGAACATTAGCTGGTGCAGCGACATGTTTCTATGCGTTTGTTGGTTTTGATCTTGTGGCTGCGACAGGTATATGAAAGTTTTTCGTTTGAAACAATATAAATCCTTTTCTTTTCCATATAGGTGAAGAGGCTAAAAATCCACAACGAGCAATTCCAATATCAATTTGTTTGACTCTGCTTGTCTGCTCGATTCTCTACTGCGGAGTGTCCATAGTCGTCACATTAATGGTAAAATATTATGAGAGAAGCGGCTTCTTCGAGTGAATTTATGACAGAGATCAGTACATCTGCATTTACTTAGGTTCCGTACTATCTCATCGATCCTGATGCTGTTTTACCCGAAGCATTTCGTTATGTAAATCTACCTGCTTTTAAATATATCATTGGCGCTGGTGCATTGAGCGGTATAGATATACATACGATCAAAAATTCAATTCAATTGTATCTTTTCTATTAGGCATTTTCTGTTCTCTTCTTGGTGCTCTTTTACCACTTCCGCGTGTGCTATATGCCATAGCGTCAGATGGACTAATCTTTCGCTTTATAGCTTGGATACATCCACGCTTGCAGACGCCAATAGTCGCAACTATTTTCGGTGGAGTTGCAGCAGGTACACTAACACAATCTGAATTTTTGCCTGTTCAATTTTCTTTCGATTACTTTAGCAATCATGGCATTAGTATTCGATTTGCAAAAACTAGTTGAAATGATGTCCATTGGAACATTACTTGCCTATTCTCTTGTATCAATATCGGTGCTGTATCTTCGGTAGGAGACTTCTAACGGAATATTTCGAATAAAACTCCAAAGTCTCTTAGTTACCAGCCCTCAGAAGAGTCAATATTGCAAACGGAAGATCGAATCGCCGAATCGTTCTACGTTAGATTATTCAAACCATCGGCAATACGTCCAACAAAGGACACAGCAACTGTGACGAGATATCTCATTGTTTCCTTGGGTAACTTTCTTTTTCCAACTTTCGTTTCATTCACCTTCTTGTGATTCATACTAGCCATCAATGGTTTCCTTCTTTGTGCAATACAAATTTTCGCTAGTGATTATATAATGCGAAAAAATCCCCTGGTTCTCACTCTTTTCTTAATTTGTATTATTTTGGAAATATTCTTCGTTATTCTAATAGCAAACCAACCTAAAAACTCGGCTTCACTTTACTTTCAAGTAAAATTTGTTCATTCGAAATCAAGTTCTTATCTGATTTTGCTTCTATTCAATAGACTCCATTAGTTCCTTATGTACCTATATTAAGTGTACTGATCAACACCTATCTCATTCTTAAATTGTCGCCCGCAACATGGATACGATTTGGTATATGGATGTTTACTGGTAAATATGTTTTTCACATCATGATTCTTGTTTATTTCCAATTGAATCTATATTCAGGTTTTCTAATTTACGGTTTCTACGGTTTCTGGCATAGTTCTCAACGATTCGATGACGATCGACGACCACTCATATCCGACCGGCAATCGTCATCAGATAGCTCTTAACATTTTGTATATTTCTTTTTGGATGTCTATTCATATTTTAATTAATAGATCATTTGAAAGAAGAAATTTGTGATTTGAAAAGGTTTTTTTCTCGCTAACGATATGCTTCTTCACTGATTTAGATAAAGAATTGAAAAATATCAGCAAATGACTTACCGTCACACATCATTGCTTTTCATCGTATCGTCTTTCGATCTATTTTCAATAACCTTCCATTCAATATGATTTGACAAAACATGCAAATTAATTATTACACAATCAAGGATTGTTTTAGCATAAATGCGTCGAATGATTCATTGTCAATCTAAAATATGTACTCTTTTTTAGATGCCACATAAGAAGCGTGCGAATAAGAACCACATTCAAGTGAAAAAGATACTCGCCAACAGCGAATCATCTTTGCTTGATAGAAAAAAAGGAAAGAAAAGTTTCGAACGTATTCCACGTCATGATAATAACCCAGCTGATCGCAAACGCGAAGAACGTATATTGAATGATGATTCATCCGATGATGAGAATCGCAAGGTCAAAATCAAACGATTGCAATTAAAAAAGCACATTAATAAAGAACTGGAAAGTCAACAGCAAAGCTCACTTATACCGAAGAAAAGCCGAAAGAATAAATATTATCTATTGAATCATCCGGAATTGAAGGATGTGATTAAGTCCGTAACGAAAACAAACAAACGTCAACGTCAATCCGACGATGAACCCGAAGAGCAACCAGCCGCGAAAAAACCTTCGCAAGAATCAAAACCGTCAATTTGTGATAAACTTGTTTCTAATATGATTACATCTCGTTTTCGTTATCTTAATGAGAAATTATATACCACATCAAGTACGGAAGCTCAAAATATGTTTAAAAAAGATCCTCAATCATTTTATGCATATCACCAAGGTTACGCGGTAAAGTTTAGCAATTATTTTCTCAAAAAATCTTCATATCTTGTCTCTTTAGACAAGCATGACTCGTTGGCCAGATCCACCGTTAGATGAAATTATCGCGTACATTCGAAAACGCTCGGGAAATCTCATTATTGCCGATATGGGATGTGGCGATGCTCGTCTAGCTCGGACGTTGAAGTTGACTCATCCAAATATTTCCAGTTTTGATTTCGTTGCTTTGAATGAACATGTGCAAGTGTGTGACATTGCACATACACCAATGAAATCAAATTCGGTTGATATTGTTATCTTTTGCTTGTCATTGATGGGAACAAATTTAACTGATTTCATTCATGAAGCGCATCGTATTCTTCGTTTACGTGGAACGATGAAAATCGTCGAAATTGCTTCACGATTCGAAAATCAACCGCAGAAGTTTGTACGAAAAATCGAAGCCATGGGTTTTCAATGTTCGAAAACGAACTCAATGGACGAGAAAAGCAACGCTCCATCGAAGTATTTCTATACGTTCGATTTCGTGAAAATCTCCGAAGATATCAAATCGAAAGCTACTGTCACACTTGCACCATGTTTACATAAAAAACGTTGATTATGTCAGCATATTATTATTATTGTTGTTGTTGTTGTTTTGTTAAAATAAATGACAAAAATAAGGAGGAAAAAAAACAAAAAAAGAACGGAAAAGAAATGTGTTAAGGTAATGTTAACTCAGGTGATAGAGAAAATAATCAATAGACACCTAAATGAAAGAAGAAGAAGAAAGGAAATCTAACATCAGTATTCACACATATATGTACGAACAATAAAGGGAATGTCGAGATCATATTTGTGCTATGTGTCCCTTAGAAGATCAGAAAAAGGAAACTTGCATTTGAATCTGGGAGAAGATGGAGGAAACCTTCTCTTTTCCTTAGCGAAGCATTGGAAAGCCACCGCCCATGCCACCCATGCCACTCATGCCTCCCATGCCACCAAAACCTCCCATTCCTCCCATTCCTCCCATTCCTCCCATTCCTCCCATAGCACATTGATTCAATGGGGCAGCGACATAGATAACTGGACGTTTGTTACCAGCAACAGTTGGAATGTAGTATTCAGTCCATTCGGTCACTGCCCATGGTTCGACACCTCCTGTGGTGAAACCTGAGGCTGCACCAGGAAGGGCACCAACACGATTAGGAACACCAGCACCTATTCGGCGGTCAGGAAGTTTTCCGGGTGCTTGTCTAGAAAAAACGAGATTAATGGTCACATACGAAGAAAGTGTTCGACTTACTGATTGGCTACTGGAGCTCGTTGTGGAAGTCTTTGGGCGGGACGTACGTTCATTCTGTCTAAAAACAAAAGAATACAATTATTACGAAAAGAATCGTATGTTTATATGATTTTCTCATTGAATTAATGATGATCGTTGGTCTATTGAGGAAAATGATTATGCTAACTACCTTAAAAGTGAATGAGAAGAAGAAAACAACTATTAAAATAACGTGGCAAGATATATATGTTTAAGAAGAAAAGCAAAAACATAACACAGATACAAATAAAAAATACATGTATCGCAATCGATCATCAAATGATTGAATAAGTTGTAGAATATGAAATAAAAGTAAAGAAGAGTAATGACAGAGAAGAAAAATATGAGAGGGGGAGAGAGAAAAAAACGAAAACTAGTCAAATGAAAGAAAAAAACATTTCAATTAATAAGAAAAAAATGACGTTGATGAGGTGTGGTTAAGTGATATGCATATACATAAGTATTGTGGCGTGAATCAATCAACCATGACGTCAGTCTTGTATGTCTTATAATTTTGTTACGATTAATATGTGCAATAACAAAAAAAGGATACTTTCTTGTTTCTGTGTTGCTAGCATTATTGAATAGAAGGTTGTTGTTTGTTGTCGATGATGATGATCTAGTTTCGAAACGACGAGAGAAAACAAGCAGGACAAGAACGAAAGAGAAAAGGCGTTTGAAAAGAACAATATATGAAAAAAAAGAGATATCGAGAGCTAAATTCAAATTAATCGCCTAGAAGAGTAATATCTATATTTGATAGATGTATATAAGTAATAGAAATCCGTCTAATGTTTCATTCATTAATGTGTAGTACAAACGAACGATTAGTTTTTATTGATTAGCACATTATCGTGAAGATTCACTTCGGAATATGACTCGGACATCTGATGTGAAACGTATCGATTGTTTAGTATTTTCTTGTTATTTGTTATACATCCGAATAGCATTGAATCAATTTATTTTAATATTGAATAGAGAAGACTGTTGATCGAAAAGCAAATTTCATTTCGACACAAATTGAAACTAATTAATATTAATCAAGTCACTATCAATTTGCAAATAAAAAAGTGTTTATTATTCATTATGAGCACTCGCCTTGAGGCATCTAACAGGCGCATATTATCACAGTTGTTTACACTGATATTATCGGTAAAAAAGCAATTTTTCTTCTCACACTCATTACACAATTTTCCCTCTCTCTTTGAAATATACGTTGCTGTATCTTCGCTTGGGCATTGCAGTATCACCGATGTTTTCTTGATCACTTTATTTTGTTGTCTTAACCTTGAAACCGTAATAAATAGTGATTCTAGTTAGACATCAAGCGAAACCACAAAAAAAATTGATGATCAATCAAATTGATTACAAAAATTGTCTCTTATTTACTTTCTTTCTCCCTCTCTCTCTCTTCCTTTCTCATGCTATCTTTGGTGTAAAGGCAAGCACCCTTTTCAACTCATCAACGACAAGGTTATCAGAAAAATACATACACATGCTACAATGATAACTTGCCAGTTTTTCTTTCTGATCAATTTCTATTTTCGCATGCGTTCTCATATCACATTCGATTTTTCTAACCATTCATTTTCAGAAGAAACAACTACGTTCAGGTAAATTATACGCGGTTTTCTGGCCGTGAATATAGGTGTGGCAAATAAAATCATTTTCGTATCTCTCTCTCGTCTTCTCTCTACCACAGACAAAACGGCCGTGGACGGCAAAAAACAAATTTCTCTTTTTTTTTCTATGCCACAACTAGAATTAATAACCTTCGTTTCCTTTATGCGTCGTCGAATGATGCATGGACGATTCGAAGAAAGATATGATAAACCAATTGTATCGTGCAGTTTTCGTCCTCAAAATTAGGGACAAATGTCTGGCCAAGCAATTTTTTCGGCCGGAAAAAACTTCTTCTCTTCTATTTTTCTTCTTTTTTTTCTCTCTCTCTATTTTCCTCTCGTTTGTTAACTAAGAAGCAAAGGTGAAACCGCTTACCTATAAAATAAGAAGCATTCATATTAGATCGATTACTCTAGATCGACAGCCGTGGTCGTCACTTGAAGAAGAGTAGGTAGCGTGTGTGTTTATATACGTATATACATCTGTGTATTAGATATATGTGTGTATGCATGTCAGCAGTAGTAGAAGGAAAAGTTGTACCGTTACTTTTTCAATAGATATACTACATAGTTCATGAGTATGGAGTTTGTTTCTAATCTATTTCTTTCTTAGTTCTAGGCACTAGATTAGTTACATAGCAATATATACGACAAAATGGGAAACCGAGTAAATCGTCGTCAACAACCAGGTCTTTCAGGATATGGTCAAGCCTATGATCCTAATTACGGAATGGACTATTATGGTGGAGCTTACGATCCAGTATCTTGTAAGTATTGATATGATTTCGTATTCATTCGTAGACATCGAGTACGAACGTGAATGCATTGCTCTTTCAGATGGTGGTGCTTACCCAACTGGTGGTGCCTATCCAACTGGAGGCGGCTTTCCAACTGGAGGGTACGGAACAGGATACGTTACCACAGCCGTCGTTCCTCGACAGCCTATCGGTCCTCCACTCGGTATGAGTGGTTCAAGTGCTCTCGGCGGCTATGGTTTAGGTGGTCTCGGAGGTGGCTTGGGAGGCGGCCTTCCACCTAAAATTCGTGTCATCTTCATCCCACAAGGTGGTGCCGGTGCTGCTGGAGGGTAATTTCATTGAATTTACGATGATTCAAGTCATGTACTTTTCTTACCTCGATGTATAGATGTGCTCCATCGTGTCCAATGCCAATGCCACAAATGCCAATGCCACAAATGCCAATGCCTATGCCAATGCCTCAACCAATGTGTCCACCCCCCATGCCAATGCCTCAACCAATGTGTCCACCTCCAATGCCAATGCCAATGCCTATGCCAATGCCAATGCCCCAACCAGCGTGTCCACCTCCAATGCCAATGCCTATGCCAATGCCAATGCCAATGCCCCAACCAGCGTGTCCGCCTCCAATGCCAATGCCTATGCCAATGCCAATGCCAATGCCCCAACCAATGTGTCCACCTCCAATGCCAATGCCAATGCCAATGCCTCAAATGCCCATGCCTCAACCAATGTGCCCACCCCCTATGCCAATGCCAATGCCACAAATGCCCATGCCTCAACCAATGTGCCCACCTCCAATGCCAATGCCAATGCCACAAATGCCAATGCCAATGCCAATGCCAATGCCAATGCAACAACCTATGTGTCCACCAATGGGCGGTGGTATGTTCACAGCTGAATTATAATTATGTTTTGCTATTGTGAAATTTGCTTCTTTCTATGAAAACTATAGGTCTCGCCAGCTATGGTGGTGGTATGCCAATGGGTGGTATGCCAATGGGCGGTATGCCAATGGGCGGTATGCCGATGGGCGGTATGCCAATGGGTGGCGGTATGCCATTCGGTGGCGCTGTCGGTGGATTTAGTGGCGGTAAGTTTTTCTGTTTTCTCTTTTTGACAAATAAATGTTTCGTCATTCTCAATTTTTTGTAGGTTATGGTAGTGCTTTACCAATGTTGCGTTGTTCACAATTTTCATAGACGCACTATTGAAGTAAAATAAATTTGACAACGATACGGTGACGGCGACAAGTACAACATTGAGACGAGTCGTATTACATTGAAATCAATGGTACGTGACTGACTATTTGATTTGTGAATGATTTGAGGGTGGCGGTATCGGTGGTTTGGCTTCCTACGGAGGTGCTGCTGGTGCTGGTGAGTTTTGTCATTGACTCAATGAATTGATTATTCAGCCGTGTTAATTCTTTTCGAACCATAGGTTATGGTACCGGATTCACTGGCATTCCATCAATGAGCGGTTTCGGCGCTCCACAAATGCCCGGTTTTGGTGCTCCACAAATGCCCGGCTTCGGTGCTCCACAAATGCCAGGCTTTGGTGCTCCACAAATGCCAGCTTTCGGCGCTCCACAAATGCCAGGCTTCGGTGCTCCACAAATGCCAGGCTTCGGTGCTCCACAAATGCCAGGTTATGGTGCTCCACAAGCCGGTGGATTCCCACCAGGATGTGACTTCGGTATGTATTGATATTCTAAGATGTTTTTTTTATTTCTGATGAAATCTTGCAAAAAAGCGTATTCTTGTTTTTCTACAACAATTTCCTCTATTATAGGCGGCCAAGCTCCACCAATGGGTATGATGCGCTCATTACAAGCTGTCGGTGCACCATTGATGCAGCCATACCAACAAATGCAAGCTGCACCACCACCACCACAATTTCCAGCACCTATTGCCCCAGGTCCACAATCATGTAAGGATTTATGCTCTCGTTGAAGCATGATGTACGATAATGTGTGTCAATTCGTCGTTCTAGATCCAGTTCCTCAACCATATCCTCACCCATACCCAGTGCCTGTACCAGTTCCTCAACCAATCGGTCAACAACCATCATTCCAAGCACCACCACCAAGCTTCCCACCTCCACCTAGCTTCGGACCAGCACCAAGCTTTTCACCACCACCTCCACCACCACCACCACCAAGTTTCGTTCCACCACCAAACTTTGCTCCTCCTCCACCAAGCTTTGCTCCACCATCTAACTACGCTCCACCTCCACCAGCTCCACTACCGCCTCCACCCCCGCAACAACCCTATTCACCTCCTCCGCCACCACCACCAAGTTTCCAACAATCCGGTCCTAGCTTCGGTCAATCTGATCACTTCCACGCACCACCACCTCCACCACCATCATTCCCACCTCCACCTCAACATCAATACGGTGGATTTCAACCACCTCCAAGTGGTGCCCCAGGTGGCAGTGGCCGCATGATTTGCTGTTGCTTTCCAGCACCTAACTAAAACTTCAACTTAGATTATCAGTTAGACACTTGTTTTCTTTTTTGATCTTTTTTTCTTTTGCTGTGTAATCGCATCTTGCTTACTTTTTACTCTTGTGCTTCTGGGCTCGTAAAAAAACCATCACAAATACTTTGTCGTTTAATAATAGTCCAACTCAATAGAACATACTTTTAAAACAAACAAACAAATAACAATCGACGCATGCACGCCTATACATACATACATACATACGCACATACTTAGCTACAATTTACCACGAACAAGTAAACTTGTTCGCTTTTATTTCAAGACCTTATCAGTCTTATTTAGTTCAATTGGAATCTTTATCGATGTTTCCTTAAACCATTTTATGCTCGTAATTTATTTCAGATTAGTATTTTAGTAGTGAAGTATATCCTTCTTTCTCGCTCATCATCATTGTTTATAATTCTTTTGCTCTTCCTTGTTGCGTGTCTGTTTGTTATACTGCTTCATTTGATTAACATTTGTTTAAACAAGAAAAATAAAGGAAATCTCTACACATATGCATTTGACCTGTCTTCATTTGTGCACAAATTTTCTTGCAACTATCTACATCTGTATCATATATGCATATAACTAAATATTAATCATTTTACAACGAAAATTTCTTTCAATTTTCCTTCTTTCATGGGGGTGTACATATGCGTGCAAAGCTATGCTACAAAAAAAGCTCGGTAATTATGATTGTAATGATAGATTTTTTCTTCTTGATTTTCGTCTGATATACGCTGACAGATGGTAACGAAATATAAAATATTTGTGTGGTTTTGATAGCTGTCATTCTGATTTGTATATTTCACTAGACATAGTCATTTGATAGACAGGTATTGATAGATAAATAGATGTTTGTCACTAAAGATACACGACACGCACTACTAAGTTTTCCTTGTCAATGATAGATGTGAAATGAATAATGATGATCCGGATAGTTATTCAATCTACTATTACACTTTTGACAAAATGATTTAATCAAGACACAAAAACTAGTCTGCATGTTCATGAGACGATATATTAATCTTTGAAAACGAACTGATTCTTAACTATGCGCAATAATTACACGTCGACGAAGACAGCCGATTTCAATGGGCCTTGTATGAAGGTGAAAAATATTTTCACTAATGTTCAGTACTTTGAGGTAATACGAAAAACATCGGCGCGACAAAGATGCATACATTGAAAGGACACCTTTTCTGCCATGGATGCGCAGATTGCTATATGAAATCAATATCTTCTCTCTTTTAACTGGTTCAATTAGAATGATCAGGGCCATTAAAATAAAATTTGATTGATGATTTCGATCTGACGTATAATATGGAGAGTTCAACAAAAAAATTGTCGATATGCTATTGAGAAAATATTCTCTTTTCTTTTCCGCTCGAATTGCTTTACAATCTCTTCCTTTTCTCTATTCTTGCTCTATTTAACGAAAGTGTTAAGATATGATGGAAATCTTTGTATGTTATCGATTGTGTTCCGTCTATCAGTTGCCGGTGATGAAGCAATCACATTCATTTTAACACATATATTACCAAAACCTTCTACTCAAGTATATAAGCAAAAGAGAAAGAAATCAATTCCACACTTATGACAAGCGTGTGACAAGTTAGTCTGTGCGTTGGCCGACGATATAATTGTCACACTGATATATTCATCAGTGTTGTACAATAAGCATAGTATGCGTAGTTTCGTTCTATCTATTCATTCG